TTATAAAAAAGTTTGATGGCCCTAGCCTAGACGTGGAGGCATAAAAGTAAACAGTTAAAACAAATAGGAGTATGCATTACAAAGAAATGCCTGAGCTAGAGGAGCAACAAAGTGACCTCACTTTGCATGTTTACGGTGTTCAGAGAAGGCCATCTCAGAAAGTGGCATTTAAAGCTGAGACCTGGCAGGTGAGGAGCCAGCCATGTGAGTGGCTGCAAGGCTGATGTAATCAGAGTGAGGAATATAGGGAAAATGCTGACTCTGGAGAGGGCCTGGGTATTTGAGGAGCTGAAAGACCAACATGCACTGAGCATGAAGGGAAAGGCAGATAACACAAGGCCTTAAAGGCTGTGGGAAACATTTGGATCTTATTGTTTTATTCCAAGTGCTTAAAGGAAGCCACTCATCTCATTGGCTGCCATGCAGAGAAGGGGCTGGAGTGACCAATGGAATCTACAAAGGTGCATTTCCTAATGCAACTTTTAAGTTCTAATTTCCACCACAATGCCACCAGAGTTCTGGCAGTGACCTGCCCTACACCTCACCTTGCCTTTTCACGCAAAGGCTGCTAAGAATGGGGAAGAATAGCAACTTAATTTCTTAAGGTCTGCAGAGTGGACAGATTCAGTCCTAGACAAACAACATAGTACTTATTTCAGGTCCTCTCCTAGCAATCTTTTCTGGTAATTCTTCTGCTATATTTTCCTCTCACATTCACTGGTGTCCTCTTCCGACCTCTGGCTATCCAGAAATCTTCCATCCCAAATAGACTGGTTCATACTTCCCATGATAGGCAGAATAATTATTCCATCAGTGCTTTTTGAATGTCAGTAAAACAAATTAAGCCAGTCATAGGAACAGATTAAAGGTAACTGCATTTTAAAAGAGGGATTTTTTTTTTTTTAGCTCAAACAAATCTCAAAATAGATTGGGACAGTGTAGCCCATTATTTGTGGGCATATACATTTGGGGAAGGAAACATGCTTGCCAGCCTGATACACTAACAATGTTAGGCCATCTCTTGGAAGTAACAGCAGGAGGGGTTTGCGTAAGAAGGAGCAGATGTGAGTTAGTGTCATTCTCAGAGCCTCCACCTGTGATGATGGGAGATGTGTAAAACCTAAGTTTTACAAAGTAGTGGATGTGGTGCCCAGGCTCTGGTAATCAGCTGCCCTGTTTCTCCATACGAGACAAGTGATAGGGGCTCACAAGACATTGTTCCATTCATTGACTGCTGAAAATAAAATCAGGGGATTATAAATTGCCTCCAACTCTCTCCATCACTATTCTGTTTGCAAAAGTGAGAAGGTTGAGAGCCTGGTTTGGGAATTATTAACAAAAGTAATGACAGATTTGGGTGAATTATGCCTAATATTCATGAATAAAATCGTTATGAATGTAAATGTCAGACTAACTTTGTATATTAAACAAAGATTAAATACAAATTTTGTTTATTTTGCACAACTATTTAGAGGGAACATTTATTGAATAGCTTTTGGTATTATGAAACTTTTGAATTAACTCGGTATCTTCAATTTAAGAGCAGCTTGGTTTCTGATGTAATTAAAATACTTCATTTGGTTGTTTTCTTCTGAATCTTTCTGTATTTTTCAAATATATTTTATTTTAGAGAAGAAATGGGTCTAAAGATAGCCTGATGGAAGAAAAACCTCAGATATCTCCAAACAACCTGGCTGGAAAACACACAGCAAAAACAATAAAAACTATCCAAGCTTCCCGCCTCAAGACAGAGACTTGATCCTGATGAAGGGTCAAGGGTAGGGGTGGGAAGGTTGTGTGCACCACTGGTACTTTCGAAACTGTGAAACAGATACCTTGATTCAAATCTCAGACCTGCGAGTATTTCAGCATAAGACAATGTTATATTTTGCTTTTTTTTTTTTTTTTTGAGATGTTACCACTGTCGCCCAGGCTGGAGTGCAGCAGCACGTCAGCTCACCACAACCTCCATTTCCTGGGTTTAAGCGATTCTCCTGCCTCACAGGCGTGCGCCACAATACGTGGCTCTTTCTGTATTTTTAATAGAGACAGGGTTTCACCATGTTGGGGGCTGGTCTCAAACTCCTGACCTCAAGTGATTGGCCTGCCTCAGCCTCCCAAAGTGCTGGGATTATAGGCATGGTTTAACTACAGCACAGTCGTGCTGAAGCACCTTTTTGTTTGAACTGGAAGAATAAGTATTTTGTAAAAATTCACTTGAAACCGCATTTTCGTTTCTGGAACAGGATAGCAATCATTCATTTCTGACTGTGTTGTGTCTGTGTCCACTACAACCAAGACCAGATGCATCTGATGAACATTCTGGAAATCTGAACTGCAACTAGCCTGCTGTGCAATAGTACAAGTGGGAGGACGTCTTCCCAGCTCTGGGTTGGTTCTCAAGTAGCGCCCAGATGCAAAAGGACTGAGGCATCACTTCCAGACTGCAGACATTTTTATTCATATAGTTCTTTATAATACTGTATTTTGTGGTGTTAAGTTCCACCAGTTATTTACAAATGATGTAAAAAGCTTTGTTTTTAAGTGTTAATTTCTAAAGTGTTCTTGTCTTGTGTTTTCAGAAGTCTATGTGGATTTCAGTTGATCCCTCACCCCAAACCTCAAATGATCTATCCACCCTGCTTGGCCATCTAACTCACCTGCTCTCCCCAGTGACTATTTTGGACCTTTCCTCTCCATAGATGACTTTGCAGTCTACGGGGAAAATACTTACACAGGATGTCTTACATCTCACATCTCCCCCTTACCACATACAGTTCTCTCCACAGCTGCCAGCAGCCCTAACCTTTTTGTCTCTCCGCCTGTGCTTTGGATGCTCTCTCCCAGCCTTTTCAGGATCTTTGTATCTCCTCCTCCTATATTAATGTATTCAATCATTCTCTCAGCTAGATCCTTGCTACTTCGTTTTAAATTTAAAACTAAGACTAAAGAAAACTATCTTTCATAACTACAACCCCCCACCCTCTAGCAACTATGATTTTCCTCATTCTCAGCCAATCTTCATGCAAGGAGTTATCTTTAGTCATTGCCCTCAATTCAACTAATCCATATCTTAAGTGATTAATATCAATCACTGTGTCACTTAATCCCAGGGATAATTTTTAGGATATTCTTTTGCTTCTTTAATGTAATCCTATTTTGCTCCTACCACATACTGACCACCCTTTCTAGCTTATCATGCTTTACCTTGCCATTAGTGGAGTTTCTCTAACTTCAAACCCTAGGCCCTCTTCCTCTACCCCGGGTAGATACCATTTATACCCATGGCCTTAAGGTTTATTTCTGTAGTTTAGACTACCGAGTAATGTGCTACTGCAAAAAGACCATTTGGATTTCTTAAAGGTAATTTAAGAATTCAGCTGTTTAAATGCTGCTCCCCAACTGGATTTATAGTCATTATGCTCATCAGTGTGCAAGCTCGACACCTAGCAGTTATGGACACCTCCACTATTACCAAGTCTAGTTGGCTCTGTCATCGAACTATAAACAATTTTATTTCACTAATTTTACTAGTGCAAGATGGTCTCTCGCCTAGACAACAATAAGCAACCTAGTTCAACTACCTTTTTTTGCAAATCTGATTTTCCACCATGGACTTATCTTGCTTTAATAAAGCCAGAGGGAGCCTGAAGTGGTGTGTCTGGCTTCTTTACCTACCTCTTCAGCCTCATTTTGTAACACTCCCACCTCCCATAATAGCCATCTTACATGCCTCAGTAAACAACTCAATTCTGAAACAAGGCACTGAAGAGGGAAAGCAGCCAAAACTGTCACAAAAGTAAGTGGACTTATGGTATCTTTTTTCTAGCCCAAGCCTCTGCATGTCATTTCCCCAATTTTGCCTTGTGAAAAGTATGACACATACCTTTGGTCTCAACTCTTTCTCAGGTTTCCCCAAGAAAATCCTATCATGGAACTCATAGTGAAGTTTTACATGTGATGACATTCCCTCCACTCAACTTTGTTTCCAAAGGGCAGAACTGTGTTGTGCTCGTCATCATGTTCTTAGCTCCTAGTACAGTGCTTTCAATAAATTTTTTGAATACATGAATACATTATTTGTTGTTTCTTGCAAAGTGAAGGCAGAAGATATGCCAATATTAAGTGTACAATCTAGTTGGAGGGAAAAAATGTATGCATTGGGTGCAGTAAAGCACACCTGTCACTAGAATCAGTCTAGTTCTCGCCACGATTTTTGAGTCACTGGAAGAAAGTACATTTCTCTTTGGGCCAAACACAAGCTATTGTAAGGCTATTAATTATGGTGACAACAGTGAAAACTGATCAAAAAAGAAGCCCTCCTCCCTTATAACTTTTTAGAAACAGCTATTTCTGGCAGTTAATCACTTAAAACACAAATGTCAAAGTGCATTAATATATTTATTCACATCCTCACTGTCTTAAGTGTGTATTTAGACTCCAACAGGCAGTTATGTCAGAAATCCTCAGACTCCTGGCAATTTCAAATGAGCCAAGCAACTCTTGTGAAGACCAAATTTTCAAACTCTTCACCAAGGACATCCTAAGAGAAAAAATAAAGTACTCAATTCGGCAGCAGATATTTTTGTGTAACATTTTAATCAAGAACTTGGTAATTAATATGCCTGCGATTTGACAAGTTTTTAAAAAACTCAATGACTACACATAAAAACAATTCTTAAGGGATCCAGAATGCCAGTACTATGCGTATTTATTTCCCTGGGCTTCTCAGGATGTATCAGCAAAACTTTCCCAAAAATAAGCTGTGCAGGCTGTCCCATTTGTTAACTCACCTAAATAGCTACAGACGGAGCAACACTACGAATGTACCACTAACGTTAATACTCACTAGAGAAGGAGCCCCAATCTAAAAGGTGATAAAAATTCCCATTACAAAGTGCTTTATGACATATCACCCTACCTTCTGGTCACCTTTGTGCTCCCAGATGGTATTGAGCTAGCAGCAGTCTACACTTCAGGCATCCATCTTCCACCTGAACAAAAATTAAAACTGGTTAAGACAAACCATACACTTGTGGCTGGCGGGGTCAAGATCACGCGTGTAAATGTAAAAGCAGCAACTGTTACTTATGCAGCTCCTACACCAAAGATACCAAATTCAAGGGCAGGAAAAGGCTGCAAAGCGTTTAATTTACGCCTTTTTTGACACCACATTCACTAGTTTCCAAAGTGAATGGGCAACACAAAGGCTGACACTGCGCGAGGTCGGCTCTAGGACATAAGGTTGCTGACTGGCTGACAGTAATCTTCTGATTACAGCCTAAAAACGAACACTACATTTCAGAGAAATTTTCTATTTAAAATCCGACTTAGTAATGAAAAGTGAAATGAGATGCGTTTTAAATGGCGACTCGTCTCGCACCAACGTGAAAACTCACAAGCAGGGTAGGTGATCACTGCCGCCGAGTACCGCATATGGAAACAGCCGTCACCAGGCCCTCTGCTTTTAAGTTATTTTACCCGGGGGCAGGGCAGGCATAAAGTCAGGTAAGGCCTTTTCACTAACGAAAATAAAGCCAGGCTTATCTGGAGAACTCCCGGGCATAGTCGATGATCTAAACACAAATCCACCAGCTCCCCGTTTCCAAGCTTGGGAACGCAGGCGCGAGGCCAGGCCGCTTACCCTTCACGCGTTCACGGCCCCGGACACCTCGGACACGGTCCGGCCGCCGCAGTCGACTCACCAGACTCAGGGTGGCCGCGTTCCCCTGCCCGGCGCCCCGGCGTGAGAGACCACGCGGCCACAGCCAAGCGCCATCCCGGAAGACCCAGCGCAAAAACCACGCCAAGCTCGCACCAAAAGGAAGAAAGACCGACCTGCCGTCCCACAATCCTTTTCTAGAAGTGGAAGGACCCACTGTCCGAGGGCGCGAGGGGGAGCGAGCTGTACCATCGGCCGCTGCACTCTCGCGAGACGCCGCCGTGTGGCCGGAGGGAGAAGTGCCAGTGAGGGACCGAGGGGCGGGGCGTGTCACCAAGGGAAAGAGGAGCCTGGGTTCTCAGCCTGAGTCACCTCTGCGGTTTTGTGACCAGTTCTTTCCATAGAGGAAGTATCCAGACCCCCCGCCCCCGCCCACCCCGCCCAGGGTCAAGAGCATATTGTCAGTGCTGGCAGCAACAGGAGCCCAAAGGACTTTAGACCACGTGTTTTGGGACCCGACAGAATTCATGTCTCCGGCTGAGGAAGAGCAGTTTCATTCATTCGAAAGATATTCAGTCAGCACTTACTATGCTCCAGGCCCTGGCCTGAGTGCCTGGGAATCAGATGTGGGTGAGCCAGGCAAGGTTCCTGTGGTACATTCTGCTTGGGTGAGAAGGCCACTGACCAGGTGAGCCCGGATGCTGAAATTCCACAATGTAAGTGCCAGGAAGGCAGCAAAAGAGGGTCATGCCATGGAGCAGCGCTATCCAATGGAAACAGTGTGAGCCATGAATGTAATTTTAAATTTTCCAATTGCCACATAAAATGTAAAAAGAAGGCAGGGTGCAGTGGCTCATGTCTGTAATCCCAGCACTTCGGCAGGCTGAGGCAGGTGATCATCTGAAGTCAGGCGTTCAAGACCAGCCTGGCCAACATTGCAAAACCACGTCTATACTAAAAATACAAAAATTACCCGGGCTTGATGGCGGGTGCCTATAATCCCAGCTACTTGGGAGGCTGAGGCTGGAGAAATCGCTTGAACCCGGGCGGGGTAGGGGCAGAAGTTGTGGTGAGCTGAGATTGTGCCGCTTTACTCCAGCCTGGACTAAAGGGTGAAACTCCGTCTCAGAAAAAAAAAAAAAAAAAAAAAGTAAAAAGAAACAGGTCAAATTAATTTTAATAATAATCCAACCTATGTTAACTATTTCAACAGGCAATCAATATAGAATTAATGGAATTATTAAGATATTCTTTTATATCTACTAAGTAATAAAAATCCAGTGTATATTTTATACTTCCAGCACATTTTGGTTCAGACTAGACACATTTCAAGTGTTCAGTAGCTCATGGGGCTAGGCATAGGAAGACTAGAGGTGAACTTTGAGCAGATGTGTGAAGGCGGTTATGCAAGATCTGGGGACAGGAGGCTTTGGACAGTGTGGCTGGAGTAGAGTAAGGAGTACAGAGTGACAAGATGCAGCTGGAGAGCCAGGCAAGAGCAAGGCACTTAGGGTCTTGTCACATAGGGTAAGGTAATGGGATTTTATGCTGAAATCTTAGAGTTGGTTAATTATCACCACAAAAATAAAGCAGAGTTCGTTAATTGGCTTTTTTCCTGATAACCATAACTCCTTGAAGGGACAGGAGTGGCAGCAAGACAAGTTGTATGATGACAACTAGGTCTCCATGTTTCTCTAAGTTGCAGCAGAGATTCATCCAGAGACCAGTCTTAGCACCTTTCGTTGTTTCTTGGAAGCCTAATTCTATAAAAGAAAGAAAAAAAGAGAAGAAAAAGAGCTTATCTCCAAATACATCAAGTTATATACATTAAATACAACTTTTTGTATCTCAGTCATACCTCAATAAAGTGGTTTAAAAAAAAGAAAAAAGAAAATTCAGGCTCACAGCCCAGTGGTCATCACACAAAGACTAGCATGAATGATAACAAAATCAATCTGGAGACAATGACTGTACAGAAGTAGTAAATGTATAATTATTACAAGAAGGTAAGTAACTCCAGACTTCATTAGGAAGTCACTGTAACATCTGGGGCAGAAGGCAGGTTGCGGAAGGAAGGCAATACCACCAAGACTGTCCTTTAAAGACAGCGAAAGGCACAGTGTGGGGATTATAAAACACCTTAGTCTTGCCTTCTTGCTAGGCAAAGTCGGTGACAAGTTTTGGCTGTGTCCTCACCCAAATCTCATTTTGAATTGTAGTTCCCATACTCCCCACGTGTTGTGGGAGGGAGCTGGTGGGAGGTAATTGAATCATGGGGTTGGTTGCCTTCATGTTGTTTTCGTGATGGTGAATGAGTTTTCGGGAGATCTCACCAGATCTTTACTCTGCTCTTCTTCCTGCTGCCATGTGCAAAAGGATGTGTTTGCTTCCCCTTCCGCTATGATTGTAAGTTTCCTGAGGCCTCCCCAGCCATGCTGAACTGTAAGTCAATTAAACCTTTTTCTTTTATAAATTATCCAGTCTCAGGTATGTCTTGATTGGTAGCATGAGAATGGACGAATGCAGTGAGAGAGGAAATTTTCTTGGACTGGGGCAGCCAGCATACCTAGGTTTATATCTCCCTCTGACATTTGCTCCCTTAGGTATGTGACCACCATTGTGAACCTGAGTTTCCTCATTTAAAGGTAATAACTACACACATGTACTATTTAGGTTAGTTTAAATAATTAAGAAAGGTTTGTGGAATCACATAGCATTGTGTGTGGTACATAATGACATCCAATAAATGACTCATATGAGCTAGACTTTTCCTCTCTTTTATCCCTACCCCAAATATGGAACCTTCTTGGATTGAGTTCTTATGAAAGGGGAAAACATGCTGTTTTTCTTTTAATGGCTTTACATTATTGCTCCCACTTTCCTCTTTTCTCTTCTTCCCTTTGTATCTGCTCCCCAAACTTTCCAAAATTAGGCAGAGGAAAGGCATTTGTGTTAATTTGTTATGGTAGCAAGAGCAACCTAATATACCCTATAAGGGGTAGACAGTAAGTGAGCTTTATTTGTTACTCCACCCTTTCTTGTCCTATCCTGATTTTTTCATTAGGAGTGGAAGTGAGAGTTTTGCATTTTAAAATAATTAATCCATATAAAGCTGACTTTTGCTTATAGTGAGTGCTAGGGATAACCAGTTGTTCTAAGATGGTTTATCAATAGCTCATCCTTTCTACACAGATCTACCATGCCACTATCATCACAGATCAGGGTTTTTTTGTTTGTTTGTTTTTGTTTATCTTTCTTTTTGTATGGATGTACCTTTACACTGTCTATTCTGCCCTACTGGTCTATTTGTCTCTCCTGTGTCAATATTACACCATCTCAATTATTATATTTTTATAATGTCTTGATATTTGCAATGGCAAATACCCTGCCCTCCCACATCCATATCACCACCCAGACACCATTATCTTTTTCAGGGAAGTCTTGGCTATTATTGTCCCTTTTCTCTTGCACATAGTTTTTAGAATTAGATTGTAAAGTTCAGTGAATCGAACTGGTCCACTTTTGCTTTGACTTAGACTCCTTCTACCTTTTGGTAATCATTGTTTGATGATGCTTGTCTTCAGGATTGTGCTGCTAAAGCCGTATTTCATCTTTTCATTGAACTTTACAATCTAAAGATTGTTGGGATTTTTATTGGAATTGCATTGGATCTGTGATAAACTGAAGGAGAGTTGACATCTATATGAAAATGGTATGTGTGATAGTTGATTTTATGTATCAACTCTGGATCACAGGATCCTCAGCCATCTAGGTAAACATTATTTCTGGGTGTGTCTTTGAGGATGTTTCCAGAAGAGATTAGCATTTGAATCAATAAACTGAGTAAAGGAGATTTACTTCCTCATTGTGGGTGGCATCACTTAATCCTTTGGGGGCCTGAATAGAACAAAAAAGGGGAGAAAGAAAGGATTTACTTGCTGTTTGCCTGACTCTATCAGCTGGAACATTAATCTTCTGCCCTCAATTCCCCTGGTTCTCAGGCCTTTGGAATCTACACCACCTGCTCTCTGGCTATTCCACTGGCATTCTTGGGCCCCTAGCTTAGAGACAGCATCTTAGCACTTCTCAGCTACCATAATTGCATGAGCCAGTGCTCCTAATGTTTCAGCATGTGTGTATGGTGTGTGTGATACTTTTATGCCTTTTTTATTGTTTATTGGATTAGGGAAGTTTCCTTCTATTTCTACATTGCTAATAGTTTTTTTTTTTTTTTTTAATTGTGAGTGAATGTTGAATTTTATTACTTTTTCTGTCTCCATGGATGAACATATGGGTTCTTTTTTTGTTATTATGGTGAATTGCATTGATACATGTTCTAATATTAAACCAATTTTGCATTTCTGGAAGAAACAAAACATGTCATTTCAAAAAGTATTCTGTTTAGAGTTACTGCAGTTCTGTTTATGGATGAGACTGTAGTTATTTTTTTATACTGTCTTTTAAAAATTTGATAGTAAAATTACATAGATATCTACTTAACATTAATAATTTGTTTCTGAAAATTAGATGTTCTGTTCAAAAACAGAGTCTATTTCTCTTTATTTTAAATGGCAAAATTATAATGGATTACTTGTGAACCCAAACGAATTTCCTAAAATGTAAGTAAAATATGGTAAACCTATATTAAATTTGCTTCCTGACCCCCAAATAATATAGTTGTTGACAAATAGTTGCTTTGTTAGCAGTAATAGAGTTTCTTTCATTGTAATTGCTTTTCTGCTTGTTTTGCTTCCTTTTCTATAAAGTTCTTCAACACTTTCTTGACTTTTATTCAGTCTCATTGTTATAATTAGGAGGAAGATGTGGTGGTGGTGAAGAAATATGAAAGTCACTCTAGAAATGTGTCAGAGAATGATTCACACTGAGGATGAAACAGTAACGCCTCTTGTATCATCAGTGGCATTTGTGTGGAACATCCCTGTCACTGATATTCAGGATGCTTTTGGATATGCTGACACATGATGCTGTCATATTACTAATTGTGTTTATGATGTATCTCAAAGCATTTGCTACACTCTTTTTTTTTTGGTTGTTGTTAAAAATGTTGTATTGAGTTTTGGGATCTAAAATATAATTTTTTTCTATATAAATATAATCTGAAATGTTGAATGATGTTATGGTCCTAAATACAAGAGGTAACTTAGTGGGAAAATATAAATCTGTGGAGTATTCCTGTACTCGCTTTATAAAGTAATCTGAAGAACTATTCATCTCTTTCTCTTACCTGAAAGTTTTTGTGTAATGTCAGAATTCTTTTTCTTAATTAAAAAATTCCACTTTTAAGACTAAGTCCAGTATTTTCTTTGTGGGACAATTTTAAACTACTGATTTCAATTTCCTTAATGGACACAGGACCGTTCAGGTGTTCTAGTTCTTTGGTCAGTTTTGTTAAGTTTAAGTTTCTAGACAAGTATACATTTCCTGCACGTTTTTAAATATGTTGGTAGGAAGTTGTTCCTTATAGTATCTGATTATCTTTTGAAATCTCTGCTTTTCCTTCAGGTATGTTTCTTTTTCATTCTTAATGTGTGCTAGAGGATTGTGCATTTTATTAGTAATTACTTAGTATTTTAAACTTCATTGATACTACTTTTTCTGTTAGCACAATTTATATCCAGCATTTATGTCACTTTAGCAATAATAAGATCACTCCACATTTGTTAATCAAGTTCTTTTCACTTTCAGATTTAAGAAAGTTTTGTGGGGGCTATTTATGCTTGCACAGTGTAACATGGACATTCCATGTTGTTCCAATTTTTGCACAATATATTTTTTTTCATGCTGTGCCTCATTATTAATATCATGTCTTTTAAAATTTCCCTGGAGATTTAGAGTAATCATGTAAATTATATGTAAAAAGAATATTGAAGGAAAAACTGTCTCTTTGTTGTGGGTATTTGATTTTAAGATAATGTTTAAAATCATTGTGTAAATTATTGAATGTTAAATATCAAAATGCTGAGCAATTACTGCTTACGTAAGAATTACAGTGCACATACATATGTCCAAAGTAAAAACAATATATTTATGAGTAGTGGGAACTATGTACGTCTAGCAAAATGAAAACCTAATGATCATCCTAAAGCCCTGAGTGCATTGTGCAGAGTATCCACTGGTGCTGGAAAGCTTACTATGAGTCAGGTGAACTGGAGGATAGCGTCGTGAATGCTCTCAAATGCCGCAGTAGCGGAAGATCCATTTGTCTCTGGGGATTGCAATATTGTATATGTAGTTTAAATTAGCCAGTTTATATTCACACTGGCATCATTAATTTTACCTCTTCTAATACTTATTACTACAGTATTTCCTAATATATTTAAATGTTTTTCAATGTTTTACTAATTAACTTGGCCATATTGGTGTGTGCCAGCTACATATCTGTTTCTAAGTATTTTTGCATTTTCTTCTTTGACTTTTGAGTTATTTAGAAATGTATTTTTAATTTCTACTGTATGGAGTCTTTTTGAATGTAAGTTATATTTTTGTTATTTATTTTTAATAATAATAAGTAATAAAGCTATAAGATTTTGATTTTTTTGAAATTTGTTTTAGGTCCTAATAGGTGGCTAGTTTTTATAAATATTCTGTGGTCTCTACTTGTTGTATGCTATGTTCCATAATATGTCCTTTGGATCTAGCTTATTAACCATATTAGTCCAATCTTCTATATCCTTACCGATTTTTAATCTCCTTGATCTATCAGCTATTGCATGTTTTAAGGTTTCCCATTATGATATGGATTTGTTAATGTCTCCTTGTATTTCTGTCATTTTTCGCCTTCTCTCTCTCTCTATATATATATGTATATTTTTTCTTTTCTTTTCTTTTCTTTTTTTTGAGACAGAGTCTTGCTCTGTTGCCCTGGCTGAAGTACAGTGGCGTGATCTTGACTCACTGCAACTTCTGCCTCCCAGATTCAAGCAATTCTCCTGCCTAAGCCTCCCGAGTAGCTGGGATTACAGGTACGTGCCACTATGCCTGGCTAATTTTTTGTATTTATAGTAGAGATGGAGTTTTGCCATGCTGGTTGGCCAGGATGGTCTCTATCTCTTGACCTCGTGATCCACCCACCTTGGCCTCCCAAAATGCTGAGATTACAGGCGTGAGCCACTGTGCCTGGCCCCTTTTTCTTTTTTAAAAAATTTTTGAGACAGGGTCTTATTCTTTCAGGTTGGAGTGCAGTGGTTTGATCTCAGCTCACTGCAACCTCCACCTTCCAGGATCAAGCAATCCTCCCATGTTAGCCTCCTCAGTAGCTGGGGACTACAGGTCCACAACACCATGCCAGGCTAATGTTTATATTTTTAGTAGAGACAGGGTTTTGCCATGTTGCCCAGGCTAGTCTTGAACTCCTGAACTGAAGCTATCCACTCTCCTTAGCCTCCCAAAGTGCTGAGATTACAGGTGTGAGCCACTATACCTGGTCCTTTATATATTTGAAATTATGTTATTATATTGCATCCATATTCATATAATTGATATATCTTCCTAGATAACTAAATTTCCATTAATATGTAATCTTTGAATCTGGTAAATTTTTTTTGCTTCGAGAATTTTTTTCTTTATGATTTCACATGAACTTTTATTGGTGTGTATTTGTATGGTTTATCTTTTTTCATCTTATTACTTTCCATTTTTGTGTCCTTATAGTATAGGTATGTCATTGTCATCTTAGTCCATTCCTGCTATAACAAAGTACCTTAGACTGGGTAATTGATCACAACACAAACTTATTTTTTACAGTTTTAGAGGCTGGAAAATCTGAGATTAAGGTGCCAGCAGTGTTTGGTGAGGGTCAATTCCTCATAGATGGCACCTTCTTGCTGCATCCCTACAAGGTGAAAGGGGCTAACAGGCTCCTTCAAGCCTTTTTATAGGGGCACTAATCCCATTCACGGCATAATCACCACCTAAAGGCTCCGCTTCTTGATACCGTCACCGTGGAATTTAGATTTCAACATATGAATTTTGGAGGGACATAAACATTCAGACCATAGCAGTAATGTAAATATCATAAGATTGGATTTTTAAAAGATTCTGTTTTATAATCTTTGTCTTTTACTTAGAATATTTAGTTCACTTTTATTTAATGTAAATATTATACCTTTGTTTTAATTTTTACCATTTTATTTTGTTCTTTTCAGCTCTCTGTTTTCTATTTTTTTTTTCTTCTCTTTCTTTTTTTATATTTTGGTCTTCTATTGGATTTGTTAAAAATTGTTTTTATTTAATATTTTTCTCCTGTCATAGTATGGAAGTTATATGTAGCCAAATTATAGTTTTTCAGGGATTCTCAAATTTTAAGTTGCATATCTAACTTAAGAAAGACTAAATATGGCTGGACGTGGTGGCTCACACCTGTAATCCCAGCACTTTGGAAGACTGAAGTGGGCGGATCAATTGAGGTCAGAAGTTCAAGACCAGCCTGGCCAACATGGTGAAACCCTGTCTCTACTAAAAATACAGTAAATTAGACAGGCATTGTGGTGCATGCCTGTAATCCCAGCTGCTAGGGAGGGTGAGGCGGGAGAATTGCTTGAATCCAGGAGGTGGAGGTTGCAGTGAGCCGAGATCATGCCATTGCACTCCAGTTTGAGCAACAAGAGAGAAACCCTGTCTCAAAAGAAAAAAAAAAAAAAAGACCAAATATATAAAATAATATGAGACTGGGTGCAGTGGCTCATGTCTGTAATCACAGCACTTCAGGAGGCCGAGGCAGGTGGATCGCCTGAGCTCAAGATTTTGAGACCAGCCTTGGCAACATGGTGAAACCCCATCTCTCCAAGAAACACAAAAATTATCTGGGTGTGGTGGCATGCACCTGTGGTCCCAGCTACTTGGGAGGCTGAGGCAGGAGGATCACTTGAACCCTGGAGGTTGAGGTTGCAGTGAGCCAAGATTGCACCACTGCACTCCAGCCTGGGTGACAGAACAAGAGTTGGTCTCTAAAATAAATAAAAATAAAATAATATGTAAATATATATTTATTCTCTTCTTGAATAAAAAAAAACAAAGCAAGGACCTTAGAAATGTCTGATACTAGCTACCCTTTACTCCACTTAGGTGCTATTGTTCAGTATTTTAATTATATTATTGTATATTTTTAAACTCACAAATTTGACATTATTCTTATCGTTTTATACAGTCATTAAATACTTTTTTTTACAGGTTACCACTTCTTTGATCTTCATTCGCTCCTGCATCTCAGACCATCTATTTGAGATAATTTTTTTCTTACTGAAGTATATACTTTAGAGAACCTTTCTACTCTAATTGCAATCTTTGGACCATCAACATCAACATCACTTAGAGAGCTTTTTAGAAATGCAGAATCTCAGATCCCCCCCCAGACATAATGAATCACAATTTGTATTTTAACAACTCCCTAGGTGATTCATATGCAAATTAATGTTTGAGAAACACTGCATATAGGCTCATTTAGTGAGGGTCTACTCATTCTAAACTCTCATAGCGTTTATTTGTCTGAAAATGTCTTTGTTTCACTCTCATTTTTGAAAGGGATTTTGCTGGGTACATGATTTTAAATTAATGGTTATTTTCTCTTAGCACTTTGAAACTAGTATTTCCTATAATAGGAGTGAATACATGAAATGAATATGCCTTATATTTTATGGAAAAAGTCAGAGGTCAGTCTAATGGTTGTTCCTTACCAAATAATCTGTCTTTTCTTTTCTTTCTTGGATGATCTGAATTTTATTACAATATGAGTAGATGTGAGTTTCTTTTTATTTAACCTAACTATGATTAACTGGGATTCCTGAATCTGAGACTTGGTGTTTGTCTTCTTTAGCTTTATCTTCCAACTCACTAATTCTCTTTTCAGCTGTTAATACTGAGTTTTTAATGTCAGTTATTATACATTATATTTCTAGGAGAGTTCCCTTTGGTTTTTTTCAAAGATGTAGGTAATTTATGGTGTCTTTTGCTTTTTTGTTATGCAACCTCTTTTATGTCTTGAAATATATTAAACACACTATTTGATACTCTGATACTCTGATTGACAGGGTCTAACTGTTTTAGCTGACTCTCACTTGTTGCTCATTTTCTTGTGGGTTTGTCATGTCATTTTCTTTTTCGGTGTGAACTGATGTTGTTTGGAAATTAATTTGTGATAACCATTTGGGTCTGTTCCTCTTGAAAGCATTTATGGTTTGGTTTTGCTGGAACTTGGAGTACCACTGACTTGGGAGCACTCAAACTACACGTAAGTATAAATTTTTACCCCATTCTATATGAGGGAGGGCTGGTGTTAGTCATTTTCA